GTGTTTGTATAGCTGTTCTTAGGGGAGGAGAGTGTTAGCAAGGTGGGCTGCTAATAAGGAGCCTCCTCTGTGTAGCTACACACGCAGTAGGTTTCTAATTATGCAGCCTGTATTATCTCCTCTGCGTAGCTACGCACATAGTAGGCAAGTAGTTGCACAGCCTGTATTAATAAGAAGCTCTAGAGCGCATAAAGGCTTAATAGTAAGCCCTCTTTATATAGCTACACACACAGTAGGTTGCTAATCTTGTCTTTATATAATTAGTTAATCTAGGGGCGCACATAATGCTTGTCTAAGCCCTCTCTACATAGCTACACACGCAGTAGGAGTAAGCTGTTTATATAGTAGTAGTTTTATTAATTCTTATAAATCTATTTATTAAGGATAATATCCTCTGCGTAGCTACGCACACAGTAAATAGTTTATTAATAGACTAATTAGTGTTAGTTAACCTAGGTTTAATTAAACAAACATACACCTAAAAAGTGTACTAATAAGTAAGTAAGTAAAGATCTTTTTATTATTAACTACTGCTCTTTTTTTTTATATAAAGAAAGAGGGTTCTTAAGTACATATAGCCCCTAATGCACAGGCCAGATAGCTAACGTTTCAGGCAACCTAATTCAGCCGTACGCGTGTACAGACGCAGCTGTACTTACGTACGGACACTAGGGTCATTTAGAGCCAAAAAATGCTAAGACGCACAAACCACTATGCCAATACAATGCGGTAGGCGTGCGTCGTAACATGTTGCAAATAGAGAGGTTGGGTGAGCATGCAGCTATAGTGGAAGCTGATGAAGTGAAGTGTATTGTGTAGTGTAGTGTTGTGTAATTGTCTTAGTGCTCTGTTGCGGAGTATTTATTTATATCTATGATGGCAGGGGCAGTGAGGGCCATGGCAATGGCTAAGGGGCCATAGTGAAGGTATTAGGAGCTATATTAACAGCAGTAGGGGCTGTTGTGGCACAGAGAAGGAAGGTTCCTGTATCAGGAATGCGACATAACACACGAGGTCAACGTCCAATGAGACAAAAATCCTGCGAAGTTCTGGGCCAATCAAAACTTCTCTAAACTCCTAGAGTAGGAGGACAAAACGGCATATGCGCGCGGCTATCTTAGAAGAGGTTGGTGAGTGTTTTGAGCGTGGAAGCGATGTGGAGTGTCTAACCAGTGAGACGACAGTAGGCACGCACAATGTAACTTAGACTGCGAATCAGCAACCTAGGCTTCTGTAACTTGCCCTGTTGATTGATTCAAGTTCTTTTTTTAGTAGGCACGTCACCCGATACTCTTACGCGACCCCGCGTTAGCCTAACACAGCCTCACAAGTTGCAAGTATTCATGGCCCTCGCCCTTGCTAGCTCAATTTCAAAATCCGTTCTAGCACTTGTAGTAAAGCTGCAACGCTTCGAATGGCCATTGAATTTAGTGTCCCCAGAATATATCCGCCTTCTGGCGCCTAAGGATAAGACGACCATATTGATCCACTGCACACGAGGAGTATAAAGTTTACCCAACCATCTCGGTAATTCGCTTCATTGCATTATAATCTGTCTTTATAACCCTAAATATCACCTCAATTATCGTTCTCTCAAGCTATGTCTCTTGACATTCTACAAGTCAACGGATTGTATGTCATTCTCTTCCTCCGGACCTCTCCACATACGCCGAACAATTTCCACTGGGGCCTCTACCTGCACCGCAATTCCCAGCAAGGAGGAACAAATAACCACATCAGGCAACAAAGGTCTGGCTGGGTCGCCGGTCATGGCCCGACTGCGGCGTCCTCAAATCATTTTTACTCATCGGACTCTTCTAAATCGCTGTAATTCTGACTGGTTTAGAAGGCCATGTTGGCTGTTGACCAGCAACTACGAACTTAGTGCTAGCAGCTAAGGCGCCTGTTATGCTAATGTCTAAGGTGGTAGTAGCTATACTTTATAGGTAGTAGTAATTACTGTTACAATTTTTACTCTAATAAAATAGTGTTTTTAGGAGCACTACAGCCTATAAGTATGTTAAGGGAGAAAAGGGAACAACTTAGCTAATTAAGTGTACAGTCTGTTAAGCAGAGTGTAAATTAGTTAGAATTAAGAAGGCAGGTTTTAGTTTAGCTTAGTAGCTATATAGGAAGCTAGCAAACCTAATCTAAAAGGATAAGAAAGGAGGTATATATAGTGTAAGATATATAAGGCAGTAATGTCCTCTTTATAAAGGTTTTAATGCCTTTTAGTCTATTATATAGGTAAAGACTAAATAGTAATTATAGCCTTCTAACTATAGTTGTGATCTAGACTATATACATAGGGTTTGCATGCTGTGCATGTCGTGCGCGTTGTGCGCGCATTACGTGCAAATGCTTGTTCCTTATTAGATAATGCACTCTGCTAGGCTTTTGTCTAAAAGCTAGAGCTATTCCTTATCTGTCCTGTCACGTGATTTGTTTAACGCAGGGTTAAGTGTCTTCCATCTGACGTCGCCTAGGCTGTGGAGAACAGCTAATTGGGTCATTACGGTCTAGCTGTTGGCCGTAACACCTTACTAGTAGTAGTAGCTAATTTTATGCTATTTTAGCTTATTTTTTATTTTTTACTTATTGTTTAATAGTTAACTTAAATCTACCTTATTTATAACTATAATAGTTTTTTTATTTTAAGTTTTATATTTTTTTTTTATACTTTATAGTGTAATATAGCCTTATTTACTTTTTAAAGTGTTAACGTAAACTATTTCTAAGCTAGATAAAATCTTTTAGCGCAACTAGCACCACATTTAAAACATAATGTTTAAATAAAATCACACTAGCCTAACTTAACAAGAAGGCAGAATTATTTTTATACTTAAGGCCTACTACTTACACTAACTTAATTGTGTATAACATGCTGCTGTAACCATGATACAGGCGACAGTTGGAAAAGTCGACGAGGAACAATTACTAACTATGCTATGAATGAAGCATGTCATGAAAGTTTTGGGAACCAGGTACACCGGAGATGCATTAGCGAATGTCGCATCATCGAGTTGCTCTGTTGAGCTTGCAAAGTTTTTGATTGATCCCGGCGCTTCTGTATACCATAGTCGAAGCAGCGTTGTTTGACGCCACTTCATTATGCAGCGCAAAAAACCACCGCTGCAGCGGCAGAATTGATAAAGCTTCTCCTCTTTTATGATGCAGATCCCAAGGCCGAGTTAAAACGTTCACAATTAAGAATTCAGGAAGAAAAGGCGCCGTAGGGATTTCAAAAAGGCTAGTGTATCTTGGGATGAGATCGTCTCACAAGCTAAGGAAGAAAGGAAGAAAGTTAGAATTAAGCAAGAAGAAAATAGGGAAGAAAATCAAACAATATAGTAGTGAAAGTAAATAAGTGTTAGATACAGTCAAAATAGGTCCCTAGAGCTTAAACTAGTTTAAAGAACAGATCACCAGGCTTACGTCGTGGGATGGAACTATGTAGAGCTTATAGTGACAAGATGAGGTCCTTTTAGGGTAATCAGCTAAACTAGCCACCTCACCTAGTTATCTAATATTCCGTAATATCTTGCTCTTACCCGCCACTATGCCCATTTTAGGTTTTTTCTACTAGGGTTCCTCCTAGTTAGAGCCGTACACTACATTACGTTCCGCAACTTTGCTACCCCTATCGATGATACAGATGGAAGCGAAATTATCGCAGTTTCAAGGTAATCGGTAGACATAAGATCAAGGGCGGGAAAGGCAATGTAAACGTTGCATTGTTACGTAAAAGTCGAAAGTGCTATGTTAATATATTTCCGATTGTTAACACAGAAAGTAAATCTTGCTGAGCCAGCACGATAAATGGGCAGAAACAAAGACCTCAACTTCCTAAGACGTTTGATTCGGGATCGATCAGGACACACGCCTACCCCAAGGATCCCCGAAAGGAGGTACTAGGTTAAGCTGATGGCACACTCTAACTCCATAACTTCTTTTCGCTGCTACGTGTATTCTTTATCCTTAGTGTAGGGAAGACCTACCTGTAATATAGGTATTATATGTTGCAACGGGTCCAACGCCTACCTAACATAAGTGGTACTGCGAGGGTAATATCGACCAGGGTAGGGATCAAGACTGGCCCTGGTCTGGCAATATATGAAATAGTGACTTGATATATATTACCTTCGGCACTCTAATATCAACTGCCGACTGGTGCTACAAATTAACCAGTCGTTAATTCCAGCCTTTTAGTTGGTTTCCTTTCGTCAGAAGATGAAAGTAACCCCTGAAATTAATAATTACAATGGCGATCACGATCATCGGGAGGTCTCCACGGCCCCACACTTATGCTTCATCAGCAAATTCATCTATTGTATCAGTGAAAATCCGGCCTCTTGTTTAAGAAGCCTGCAAGATTCCCACACTGCGCATCGTCACATTCGCTTCGAAACTTCACGCAAAATCCTTTACCATGTTTTGGAAAGCTCTCGCCGCTGGTGCGCTTTTGGGGCAATCTGTCTCTGCGCAGAACATGCTTCGTTTTGCCTGCTCACAGCTCACCATCGAGCGAGCTGATCCCCTCGTCAACCCAGGACAAAGCCCTTCCCCCCACACGCATCAGATTATAGGAGGAAACTCCTTCAACCTTACGGTACGGACTAAATATATTGAACACCACCACAAGTACCACTAACGTAGCTCAGATGGAACCGGGTGCGTATGATCCAGCCGCCAAGTCCACCTGTACAACCTGCACATATTCCGAGGACTTCAGCAACTACTGGACCTCGTCTTTGTACTTTAGGTCGCCCGAAAATGGAACCTTCCAACGCGTTCCCCAGTATGCCAATGCAGGGCTCCAGCAGGACGGAGGAATGACGGTGTATTACATGCCGTACAGCGCCAAAAATGGGAAAATGACGGCATTCAAGCCCGGGTTCCGCATGATCGCAGGAGACCCCATGTCCAAGAAAAATAACAGAGCCTCGATCTGTCACCGCTGCCTCGGAAACGGAGAGGGATTCGCTCCATGCGACTCTAAAGATACTGGCGAGCTACCAAACAAGTACTGCCCCAAAGGTATCCGAGCAACCGTTATCTTTCCCTCATGCTGGGATGGAAAGAATGTCGATTCCCCAGACCATAAGAGCCACGTTGCCTACTCCAACGGCGGTGGCCTCGGTAGCACATCTTGCCCTTCCACTCACCCGGTTGCTATTCCCCAGGTCATGTACGAGATCATGTGGGACACTGGACGATATAAGAACGATGCTTGGTACGGTAACGGCAAGCAGCCTTTCGTCTACAGCTTCGGCGACGCGTAAGTCCCATTGATTAAGCCTATGTATATTTTGCGAAGTAATGACATCGATGATAGCACTGGATACGGCCAGCATGGTGACTACCTCTTTGGATGGAAGGGCGATGCTTTACAGAAGGCCATGGACGCTTTACCTAGCGGGAAGTGCGCCAACGCCAACTGCAGCGTTCTTAAGATACAGTCTGCTAAGGACTCCATGACTTGCAAGAAGGCCCAACAAGTCGTCGAAGACGTTGGAAAGGATGGAGCATGGATTAAAGAGCTTCCAGGAGGTGTTCCGGTTACTTACTAAGTTAAGATAATAGACAGCGCCAGATGTTGAGAACTGGTAGCCTCACGGAAAGTTAATTGACTGGAGAAAGAGTCACTCTTTTTGTGTATCTACTTCTCTATTTCTGGAATTCAGATTTTAATTACCATCGCTGGTGAGGATGTGAAAACTGTGACAGCTTACTTTTTTGCTCCCCACCTCAAATAAAGGGTCGCCCTCTAGGATCCATCTCTCGGAGCCTGTTGCTTTCAGGAAGTGGACTACAGACGTCGAAATAAGCTCCTGCAGCACCTACCGAGCCCCACATACCATTCTACTATCGGTGGTTATGGTGAAAGCGTGTGCAGGTTTTCGCCACTTGAATTCCTAGTTTGGGTGCTCATTTTCTTTGACTTTTCTAGGGTGCAGAGCTACCTTAGATAATTCCTACGATCTAGACAAGTCTTCAAGAGCCCCTGGCTCCTGACACCCGTATTAGGCATAGCACAGATTTGACTGCGGAGTTGGACTGGGGGCTAGCACAGCATAATGCATGCACACGAGAGTTGCGATAGTAGTCCCTACGTAGCGAGCCACCCACCAAGGCGAGCCAAAATATAGGCACTTTCGCTTTAACATGTTTTCGACTCTACGCACGTTTCTGGATATATTTGATTCCCTGAAATTCTTGGAGTTTGGCTATCTTAAACCCTTGGGAACGTCTCCTTCCCAAAAATTACAACGTCGTTGCCGCCTCATCACCCAGATTGTAAAGAGCAGTTTTTTAGTGCCTCCACACGTCACCTCCATCGCGGCTCAACCACAACCTCTCATCACTGATAATACTGATGATAGGACAGTTTTCCATCCTTGACGACTGATGATCCTGCTGATAGGTCATCGTCAACCCTGTGGCTGCCGTCAGACGCTAATTCGTGCATTGTCGCCACGTCGATCAGTACCTTCCAATCAAATCGAGATAATCCAGGTATTCCTAACGCCACCTACATCTCACATGACTGTAATGTAACTTACCTGATGGTTCTATTTGTTGGATTACCGTGACTTCCCTCTTAGCTGTGGCTGTGCATTGTGTTTGATTTCTGTCAGCCTAGCTTATCCTTTGTGAGGAGCGGATTTTCCACCGGCGGCGCGATGCACTAATCCATAGAAAGATCTCACTAAATTACATTCTATAAAAAAAGCTTTTAGTTTTACTAAATCTTTTATAAACTTTGTAATTATTAGTAATTAAATATGCTTTTTAGCTTGCTTATATGTTTATTTACTATACGTGTTTTAAATAGTTTTTAAACTACTTAAAGTTTACCTATTTAGATGTTCTTCTAGTTATTGTTTTTAATTATAGCTTTATATAGCTGAATTATTCTTTAGTTTAATTATACTAGTTAATCTATTAATTTTTATTCCTTACGCGTTAGCGTTTAAAGAGATAGGTTCTTCTATACTATTTCCTCTATTAGCTAATCTAATAGTTAGCAACTTAGACTATGTTATTCTATTGCTTAGTGTTAGGTAGTTATTGTTACAATGTAAGGACGGAGCTCTGTACCACTGCGCTAATACAACTAAAAAGGTGTGAATAACCAACCAACAGTTGATCTTGCGTATGTAACGAGGTCGGCACGGTCAACCACGTGGCCTTCTCTCGCTCATAGAGGTTTAGGCTAGGCTAGAGACAACCGCTAGTGCTAGTGCTTACCCTAGCATTACCTATATATATATTATACTATGCGAGAATACTTAGCTTAAGTATTCTCGTGCGTACCTTTTGGTATAGTGGGGAAAGTCGTATAGTATCGGCTTGGCAGGCGGGGTGCCTACCTCATTACAGCGTACAGAATAGTATATATACCTGTCGAGCGTAAGCCATCTCGGCCTTGCATACAATATCTTATCTAAATCTATCCCTTGTTAGGCGACCTAGTATTAGTAACGTAGGATCTAAAAGAGAGAGAGAGAGGAGAGGGTATACTGCCTTGCACAACTAGGCTAGGAAGGGTTTACAGTCCTTGCTAGGTCCCTAACAGGGTAAGAAAGATTAGTAGCTTTAGTTCTCTGTAAGGGAACAGAGTACTAGAACGTGCTTCCTTAAAAAGGATATTAGATATGAAGTATATTGCTATACCTAAGGCTGTGCCTTAACAATAAGAATAACTCCACCTTTTTCTAGATGGAAGAGGGCAAGACTATATACCTTTTAACAATTGCTGTGATCGCTAAGTCCTAGCGGTGTTTGCTAGCCTTAGCTAGCAAACACCGCGATTAGTTGCCCAGCCTTGCGATCACACTATCTAGGTATCTATTAGTATATTATCTCTGCTAATATTGCTAAAGCTGCTATCCTGACATCATCTCTTCTATCCTGCTAAGTCGATATCATATCAGGATAGGCAAGTATGGGACGCGGCGCCTAGGCGGACCTGGCAAGCGGAGACGCGTAAGCAGCAACTGCGGGATGGGCGGCGTATATAGGATAAGCGGCAAAGGGAGCTGGGCCCGGCCAGCCGAACTCTATAGATGGGATCCCACCTATAGTCTGCCCACGCTGGAGCTCACGTTGAAAGCGCTGCTCTTCCCGCAACTCAGCCTTGTCTTCTCGCATGAGCTGAGAAGGGGCCATAAGGTAGGCGAGTCGACAATGTATTGAGATCCGAACAAGGTGGATTGAACCAGTGTACTGTAAGGTCTAAGGAGCGAGAGAGAGCTCTGGGCTGACTATATACTGTACGAGAAAGGAGCTAGTCCTAATGAGTGAATAGTGCAGTACATGGGTATGGTATCGCGTGAGACATGTGCGACATGCCCTCCTCTTGCTCCGCTAAACCGCGCGCGGGCCTCTAACGTCCTCACCTCTATATCCCGGCGCATCCTCTTAAGCCGTTCCTCTCTAGAAGAAGACGTACGCTGTAGCTTCCTGCGGTTGTTCGGGTTTATATAGAGACGATTGCCTACAGTCTGCCAATACGCTATTATATTAGCTAGTCTACTCGACGGGCGACCTTTGCGTCTGTAAACTTAGCCTTCTTTTTAACGGCTATCTCCGCCACCTTCTTGAAAAAGGCTATCCCTTCAATATTCGAAAAGCTGGCAAGGCTCTCAGACTTCTACGGCTGCGAACGCGACATTTGAGGCTTGTACGACATCTCTCGGGAGAAGATACGATATGGCCGACAGTATATTGTAGACGCGTCTATCGCGAGGAGCTCGTCAATCCTGTTCTCTACAGCAGACATGAGCGCCTCCTCTATACTAAGCATCATACTACTGCGCAGGCGCAGCTTAGCGTTGTCGTTGACTCTTACGTCTGGGTCAATATCTATTAAAAAGTCGTACCTGGGCCGCGACGGCGAGGAGGATAAAATATGAGAGTCGTTGAAGCGTGCTGGCGTCTGTCCTGGTGGCAATGCAGCTCTGGCAACTATTGGAGAGGCTACGACCGGCGGTGACGAGGGTAAAACAGGCAGAGCTCGACGCGCGGTGGCTGGCTCAACTAGATCTAGCACCTCAATATCCTCTGTCGACCTGCGCCTCTAGAGAGCGAGCCCTAAAGTCCACCTCTGACAGCGACAAAGAGCCACTGCTAACGCTTATAGTATCCTCTGTCCCCCGAGCGGCTTCTCGCGTCCGCTCTAAGAGCCTCACGTCAACTTCGGCGCTGATTTTGACGCTGGTTTTGACGCCGGCGCCTTCGACAGCTTCTCCGCCAGCCTCGCCTTTAGCGCCGGCCTTGTCTTGGGCGTCGACTTTGCTCTTGACGCCGTCACTGGCGCGTCAGTCAACGACTGGGCTATCCTAGTTCTCTGGACCGACTTGCGCGCGCGTGTTGGTGGCTTTGGAGGCTCTACAACAGGTATAAACCTAGAAATTCCGAGCGGGCTACCCCAGGCGACTGACTTACGCATCTTGCGGCTCTGGGACCTGCTAGTAACCATATTGGACGCATTCGGCGGCTCTCGAGAGGGCTTAGGGACGGTCGGGCGACTAAACACCATAGACAGTCAGTATACGCCAAAAACGCGTTCGCGAGCTGCCTCACTTCAATATTAGTTGTTCTGCAGCAGCTACAGGCTCTGTACAGGCACTGGCGCGACCCGTCAATCCCCCATACAAATCAGGTGTCGGGCGGAATAATGCAATGCCGGATGCCAAGCTTTCCCCGAATTACACATCTAATAGATCCGCCCACCGTACTGCGGGGCACTTTTCAACACCAAAAAAATTGCAACGTTCCTTCTGAGAAGTCCCCAACCCCCAATTTCTAAGGCCTCTATACGGAAAGTTCTTCAAGCCAGATGCTCAAGCCCTAGCAGTCCTATATTAATTCGATTCCACCCGTTAATAGAATGCCCACCAGATCAGATATCCACTACTTTGGTGCAGGCCCAGCCCTGCTGCCAACTGACGTCCTCGAGGATGCCGCCAAGGCTCTTCTCAACTATAGCGATACTGGTCTAGGCATCGCCGAGCATTCGCACCGGTCGGAGATAGCCTCTACTATCATTAATGAGGCCAAAGCTGATCTGGCTTCCTACCTGGATATTCCAGACAATTACGAGATCCTCTTCATGCAGGGTGGCGGCTCAGCGGAGTTCTCCGCTATGGCTTACAACTTTGTTGGCGCATGGGTTGCCCGCAAACACAAAGAGCTCGGGCCAGATGACAGCTCAATGCAGGAGCTCAAGTTGGCCGTGAAGAACTTCAAGATCGACTACATCATCACTGGTGGCTGGTCTAAAAAGGCAGCGGCTGAAGCTGAGCGACTTTTCGGCTCCGAGCATGTCAATATTGTGGCGGATAGCCGTGAGCTGAATGACGGCAAGTTTGGAACCATACCGGAAGAGAGGACCTGGAACTTGTCCGAGGACGCTGCTATGGTATATTACTGTGACAACGAAACTGTTGATGGCGTCGAATTCCCCCAATTTCCGAAGTCTCTTGAACCGAAGCATGATGGACCAATTGTCGTTGCTGACATGAGCTCCAACATTCTTTCAAGGAAGATACCGATGCAGAATTTTTCTGCAATCTTCTTCGGCGCCCAGAAGAATCTAGGATCTACCGGTGTCACCGTGGTCATTATCAAGAAGAGCTTGCTACCACAGCCTTCTGTGGCCTTGATGAAACAACTGGCCCTTCCTATCCCCCCTCGTATTCTCGAGTTTGAGACTATTGCTAAAAGCAATAGTCTCTATAACACACTAAGCATCTTTGAGTACGTGCATTCGTTCAGGAACTAGCCTCGGCTAATCAAGACCTTTCCAGTGTGTATATAGCGGGTCGGGTTCTGAAGAAGCTGCTGCAACAGTACCCAGACAAAGTCCAAGGACAGCAAGCTGTATCCGAATTGAAGGCTCAGCTTATCTACACGGCCCTCGAAGCCCGTCCTGATGTCTACAAGATTATTCCTGACAAGACAGTGCGTTCACGCATGAATATTTGCTTCAGGATTGAAGGTGGCGATGCTGCTGAGGAAACTTTCTTAAAGCAAGGGGTTACCTTGGGGCTAACCGGGTTAAGAGGTCACCGTGATGTGCGAGGAATTCGAGCCAGCAATTACAACTCGGTTTCTCTCGAAAGCGCCAAGAAGCTTGCCAGCTTTATTGGCACTTTCGCGTCGCAAAGGGGGAATCAATAGAAAAAGTTGAATCCTCAAAAGTCTGATTCCAAGCTTCCTGGTTGTGCTGAATCACCACCACATCTCTTAGCAAGTTTGATCTTTTTGATAAATGTTTGCATTTATAGATTCATCGCTCAATTGCGGCGAGTTACCGTAGCTACTTTCGCTATGAACCTGGTGCAGTAATCAGCTGAAACATTCATTTCTTCATAGTGAAGGATAGTAACCCGAATACCCTATCTTCTCATTCACTTCCTTTTGCACGTGCTCGGCATCTCCTTTGTAAAGCTTTCACCTCGATCCCTCTCGTTCTTCCAATCCTTCCACCTCTCTTCCACCACCTTCGCCTGCTGCTCTTGCCCCTAATCCTCTTCCTGCTGCTTTGTACGCGCAGGTGGGTGGGCTTGTTCCCGCACTTCTATCCTGCAAGTAGCCAAAGGTGGCTGAATTCACATTCATTTTCACGCTATTTTTCCTTTACTATACCTTGCCCATCAATCCAAGCGTTTCTGAAAAGGTACAAGCCTGCTTGGCATCACACGGTTCGATAAAAGCAATAATGGTGTGTAGAACATCATCTGCGCCCGTCTGTCAAGGGGATAGCAAGCTGAGTTGATTACTGATAGGTATTCCCATGCTTTTTTGCGGAGAAACATGGCTACAATGAGGCTTTCAAGACTCATATAGAAGCCTCCAACCATGTCATCATCAGCCACATAGGCCATAGTTGTTGCCAAAGGGACGAATATGGTCAATTAATATGTCTTCTAGTAGTGTTAGAATATAGCTTTACTATAGCTTTACTAAATAGCTTATAGCTTTTCTACCTTTTATTTTACTTATTTAAAAACACTATTTAGTTTTTAAAGTATCTTAAATAAATTTAGTTTATACTTATAGTTAGTATAAAATAGTAATTATCTTGTAGTACTAGATTTAGTAGTGTTAAAGGTAAGCTATGCTTATAGAAGCTATTCTACCTTGTTATTCTAATTCTTGCTAACATACTTCTCTAAGTACTACTCTAGTATGCTGTTTATCTATTTAGTTTAACTGTTTATTTATAGGTAAACATAGTTAATATTACACTTTTAATTTCTAATACGCATAGCATTATTTTTTAGTTGTGACGGCGCGTACCGCGTCACATCCTCTGCGGCTCAGCTCCCTCGCTTGCGCAACGAGTAGCGCCTTAGCAAGAGGCACACATGTATACCTTAAACTCGCAGAGCAGCTTCTCTGCTTCTTAGTTTAATCTAGTTAGGTTACACCACCTCTTGCTTGTAGCTTAAGCATGCTGATTGTGACACTAGCAGCTAGATATATAAAGTTTATTTTTATCTATAATGTACTTCACAGGCGAGTTGCTCACACACCTAAGTTACTTACTTTTGCTAAGACTCTACTAAACTACTCTTTCTACACTAATACATTTCCTATAACACTACTTAGACGCGCTAAAAGAATGTTAGATACAGCTTACACTTTAAGCTTTTAAATAAAACATAAAACTCTTAAAAAAATGTGCTATAGCTATATATAAAGTTTTATAAAAAATAATAAATAACTATAGCGCTAGATAACTTTTATAAGCTAATTCTACAGCTAAATTATAAAGGCTAGGTAATAAAAAAAAGCAGGTAATTATTAAGACTATACTTAAGCTATATACGCAAGAAATTTCTTCTTAGATAGCATTTATAGCATTTATAGCTAATTCTTTGCGCGCTAAGCATAATCTAGGCTATGTTTACATAAACTAGCCTAGTATGTTTATAAAGTGTTATTTAAAGCTTAAAGTAAAGTTTTAAGTGTAAGTATAGTTAAAAAATATTTAGCTAATTATAAACTTTATTTTACTAAAGTTATATATGTTATTATTCTAGATACTATACTTAGCTTTAATATTCTCTATAAAGCTAAACCTGCTCTAAATTACTTTAGAACTTTTATAAAAAGCTCTTTTATAGTTATACTTACACTTAAATATTACTTTATGTTGAATGGGCTCCGACAGCTAGCTGCTTATGGTATGAGCACTTAAGTAGCAAGAGTAAGAGTGGTGTACGGTGTGCACAGCGTACAAGGTAGGTAAGGTGAGGGCAACATGTTTCTGGTTCTATTGCTCTTGTCTTTCCTCCGTACGGAGGAAAAGGGGGATATCTAGATGTTCGCGCACGGAGGTTCGCGCACGAGCATCATGTGACATAGATACGTGATCCTGCTTGTGCGCGATCGCTTGTATCTAGGCTGTAACGCTGCTGCTGCGTACAGACACTTTAAGCTTTAAATAACACTTTATAAATGTACTAGGCTAGTTTATATAAACATAGCCTAGATTATACTTAGCGCGTAAAGAATTAGCTATATTAGCTATAAATGCTATTTAAGGGGAAATTTCTTACACATATAGCTTAAGTATAGTCTTAATAATTACCTACTTTTTTTTATTACCTAGCCTTTATAATTTAGCTGTAGAATTAGCTTATAAAAGTTATCTAGCGCTATAGTTATTTATTATTTTTTATAAAACTTTATATATAGCTATAGTACATTTTTTTTAAAAGTTTTATATTTTATTTAAAAGCTTAAAGTATAAGCTATATCTAACATTCTTTTAGCACGTTTAAGTAGTGTTGTAGGGAATGCATTAGTGTAGAAAAAGTAGTTTAGTAGGGTCTTAGCAAAAGTAAGCAACTTAGGTGTGTAAGCAACTTGCCTGTAAAGTACGTTAACTATTTTATCTAGTAACTTCTAGTTAGCTAGTTGTACTCTTTAAACTTTATAAGCTAGCCTTTTAGCTACTATTAATTCTTTAATAGCTTTAAAGTGTATATACTTAGTACATCTATATATAATTACTATTATAATATTATATATTTATTTTAATTCTAGTTTTTTTAAGTTAGAAAGTTTAGTAATAAAGTTTATAAATGTAACAATTCGCAGGGATTATTCTATCTCGGGTTGCCTAACAAACTAATATCTAAAGGTTTCTTATATCTACTCTAACCCTGCCCAAGCCCCTGCTGTACCCCTATTCCCCTAAGTATTTAGCTGCACCTCTTCTTCTAGCTAGCTTAGTAGTTTTCTAATATCCTTTATACCAGGCCTATAGAGGTTAATAGAATTCCTAGGTTTCTAAGTCTCTATACACTTCTATATGTCTTTAAGTAGATTTATACTACATTTAAATATATTGTCTTACCTACGCTGCTATATTATATTAAAAAAACTTTCTTTTACTAGTAATAGCTTTATTAATAATATAATATTAATTATCTTATTTAATTATATCTAAGCCTAAAACACATTTAATTTAGTTTAAGTTAGAATACTTACATACTATTATATTACATTATTTAATTATATAAAATAAAAAATTTATTAACTAAAGCTTTTAAGTTTAAGACTTTTTATCTTTTATAATTAAAATTACTTTTAGAAAAGTTATAAAAAGTGTAGTAAAGTAAAAACATAAAGACTACTAACTTAATAACTTATTAGAATTAAAGATAACTACTAATGCTTAACTTTTAATTACTAACTACTACTTAGATAATAGCTAAACCTACTTTTATAAAACTTAAAGCTAAAGACTTACTTAATTTAAAGGTAAGCTATAGCAACTTAGCTTTTAAGCTAAGAACTATTAGTTTTAATTAACTTTTACTAACTACTAAATTACTTTTAATAATGTTTTAAATTACTACTTTAATAGTAAAAGGCTTTTTAGACACTTTTAATAATACTCTAATTCTACTTTACTAAACATACGCCTAAGATTAAGAATTTTATTAATAGTAAAAAACTAATGTTTAAATAATAGTAAGCCTTAATTATAGATAAGTGTAACATTAATATAGATTACTATTAAAGTAGGCGCATACACATAGCGTTTAGTTTAGAGGACACTGTTAGCATTGTAAAGAAATACTTAGAGTATAAACACCTAGCTAAATTAGACTAGTTTTAGTTTAAAAAAGTAAAGAACATAATAGTAATACTTTCTTACTACAGTTACTACTAATAGAGACTATTAGTTTATAAAAAAAGGTAGTGTAATAATTTATAAAAATTATATTGTTTTAAGTTGCTTAATAAACTAATGTTTAAAGGTTTCTTATATCTGCTCTAACCTTGCCCTAGCCTATTAAGGGAGCATGGCCAACTATATCTTCAGTTAGAACCAACTGCGGAGACATAATATTTTCTGACCCCCTAAAATCATCAGGTTAGGAGCCAATTTCAGTGGCAAAACACGCAGGTAATGTAGGCGTCTAAGCCAACCTAACATGGTTCATAAGAAGGATCGGCAACAGTGATTTCAGAAGTATGTAAACCTCGACGGCATATTGAAACGTAATATTGATATCATAACATGGGGAAAGCATCTTTGTTGAACCTCCCGCTGCAATCATGGGGAACGTCGTGTGTGAAGTCCTCGTGACTATCACATGAGGAATGAAATGCTGCTGCCGTGATGCAGCGCGTTCGGATTTGGCCACAACCTTGATTTGTTGTGAACCTAACGGATGTTTGAGGAAATTTCTGCTGTGACATGGTTGAAATTGCGGGGAACCGGACGCATCGGGGACATCGGGGACATCGGGAACACGGGGAGATAGGGTGGCTTACCCCGCCGGCTGAGCCTTGGACCATACGGCTTGGAATCAGACTCGACGGGATGCTTGAACGTTGAAATAAACGTCAGTGAAGATTACTTCGGTGAAGTTCAATCATCGAGTTTGTTCACAATAGCATATCCCCACTCTGTGAATATCATAAAAATGGTGGACCCGAAAACCCAATCGGCCAGTCAATTGGAACCGAGCATTCAGACCATTGACGATGTTATTAAAGGGGCTTCTAACGTGAATGCAGTGCCGTTGTGGCCCCAGATGGTCAAGTATAATCCACCGAAACCGAATCCGCGTTGCGTCCCTCATATTTGGAGATATGAGGAAGTCCGGCCGTATCTAGTCCGAGCGGGAGAGCTCGTGAAAGATAAAGACGCTGAAAGAAGGGTACTTATGCTGGTCAACCCGGAACGAGGTATGCTCTCCCATATCGTGTAGATCGGACGGCGGCTAAGTTCTTTAATAGAGGGTCCATACACCACGGATACACTATATGCTGGTCTACAGTTGGTGATGCCTAATGAGACTGCTCCTGCGCACCGTCACACCGCCTTTGCCATGCGCTTCGTAATTGAAGGTAACGGTGGGTTTACCGCTGTGCATGGGAAGCGCATTCAAATGAATAGAGGAGATGTCATCCTCACTCCAACCTGGAACTGGCACGATCATGGAAAGGATGGTTCTGGGCCCATGATCTGGTTAGATGGCCTCGACCTTCCCTCATTCATCCACTTCCCGGTTCACTTTGTTGAGCACTTTGACAAACCAAGATACCCTGCGGAGAGTGTTGATACCAGTCAGAGTCCAATCGTATTCCCATGGAGTAAGATGAAGAAGCAGCTGGATGACAGGCCAGGAGAATGGGTGGCAGAGGAGTACCGGAAGGCCGACGGGAGTTATGGCATGTATCGCATGACCTAAGGCCGTACCAATACTGACTCCTCATTCAGTAAGCAAAACTCTGAATCCATCTGCAGAGCGGGTAAACAAAGGGGCATCCTCCAGACCTCGTCGCGAGACCACGTCATCCGTTTACCATGTTATCATGGGGGGTGGATATTCGAATATCAACGGAGAGAAGTTTGAATGGAAAGAAGGGGACACCTTTTGCATTCCATCTTGGTATCAATACCAGCATTTTGCTGGCCCTAACGAGACTGTCTATTTGTATCGCTTTGATGACAAGCCGATGATTGAAGCATTGGGTTTTTACCGCTGGGAAGGTATGGATACAGAGGATCTTGTGACATAAGTAGGGGTTAATAAATAAGTTGCGGTGCTGTTGATGAAAGTTTTAAGGGCGATGAAGATGGTTGTAAAGAAAGCGCTCTTCGGGAAAGACCAGAATCGCACCTTCCAGCTTCCAGGGCTTTAAATTATGATTGAGCAATGGCAATGTGATTGAGATACGTTCATGTTAATTAGAATGGTGCTCGTCGATCTATATTTGCGCTTTGCGAGACACAGATCATAAGATTCGCGTAGAGGGTTATAGATTTGCACGCTAGACCGCGTGACTTTATCCGTTCGCGGCCGTGTAGTAAAATCTTCCTCCATTCCCGCTATAATAATAGGTTGCAAAGTATGCTTAGTCCAAGTCTAAACGCTTTTATCATTCTCAGTCTCCCTACATCTGAGTGGACCGTCACAGACGATATGTTTTGGCACGTGATGGCTTTGCACAAACCTTCCAAGTTTCCAGTGTTGGAAGCTTCGGCTGGACTTTTATTCACAGGATACCGCACTTGCAATTCATGATTGCATCAACCTAGCTTTGTAAGTCTCCCCTGTCTGAAAACTCTTTCTCCCCGCAACGCATATCGAACTTCTGAGGTCCTTCGGCCAATGATTACCCGGCCAAATCCCGAACCCCCATCCCGATTCCCCACATCCGCATTCGCGTTCATTCCGTATTCCGACATCGCCGCGTAATCTTCGACATCAAACCCCTCAACATCATAGTTTAAATTTCTCTTCATCAGGCCCTACCATTCACATTGCTATCCAACATGCCTTCGTGGAAACGCTTAATACGCTTCGTGTCCACAGACGGACTTGTTTTACGCGGAGAACCGATCCTTCCTTCTGAGGACTTTGACATTGGCTCGACGACTGAGGACACAGGCCTGAAAGCAAAGATCATCAAGGTTGCAAAAGGAGGGATTTTCGACGATGAGACGAAGGTGACAGATGAAGTTGCCACTGTGAAGACGTTGTTGGGACCAGTCGATCAGGATGAAACGCCGATTATCAGATGTATTGGGCTAAACTTCATCAAGCATAGTACGTGGACTCTAGGTTCGCCTAACGTGGAAGACTGACCCTTGGAAACAGTTCAGGAGGGCGGAAGGACATTGCCACCGTTCCCTTCTACTTTCATAAAAGCGAACACGTGTTTGCAAGATCATGGCGCTCCCATCGTTATTCCGAAGATTGCGCAAGATGATCAGGCTGATTACGAGGGAGAATTTGTATGTATCTCTTTGCAACACCGTCCTAGATCACTTTTCGCGGTTATCCTTCTCGAGATCCTTCCTACGTTTCTACCCCTGATTCTACGCTTCCTTTATCACACCCACTTCACCTTACTTAACGTTGACTAGTGCTACATCATTTCGCGCGATGCCAAAGACGTCTCTGAAGAGGATGCCTTCTCGTACATTGGCGGCTACACATGTGGTAACGACGTTAGCTCCCGTAAACTCCAACGTGACCCTAAGCTCGCCGGCACAGTTCCACAGTGGAACTTCAGCAAGGGTTTCGACACCTACTGCCCACTTGGGCCCTGCATCGTATCCACCGAACTCATCCCGGACCCCAGTAAACTTTACTTGAAGACTATTGTTGATGGAGAGGTGAGGCAGTCGGAGACCATCGACGACTTGTGCTTCAAAGTGCCGACGTTGGTGAGTTATTGTAGTCAGGGGACTACGTTGAAAAAAGGAACTGTTGTTATGACCGGGACACCCAGTGGTACGCAAACCCCTTCCTATGTGTAACAGTACCGAAAACAGGAACAATACTAACAGTGGCAGGTGTTGGTTACGCCATGAACCCTCCGCGATTTTTGAAGCCTGGAACACAGGTTGAGGTCAACATCACGCAAATCGGGACATTAAAAAACCCCGTGGAGTTTGCTTAAGTTGCGATGACGTTCTGAACACCCGTTATAATAGAAATTCCATACCCATCAAGATTTTCCAATTAATTTTACGTTCTAATCGCTGGCCTGATGTGAAAACAGTTTTCCTTTGATACTCAGACAAGTTCGAATTCGTGCTTAGGAAACCATGACCTTCTAAGGCAAACCTTACACGTAGATTCAATAATCTCGTATTTTGTCACTTGTAAGAATAAGTCGTTAGAATGTCTTCGCATACTGAAGCCAGATAACTAAACCAACGACGCCGATTATCCTTCAAAACTTCTTTTAGCACTTATTTCTATCCTCTATTCAAAGTTCCTATTGCCAGAGTATTGCTTCTATGTTCCTTCCTCGCAATGCTTAAGTGCCGTGAGATTTACCTCACTTGACATCTTCCCTAGTAGCTTTCTCCTCGATTTCCAACTCCATCCGCAGACTTAACGGAGGTGAGTAAATATGTTGTATTTGCAGCTGCGACAGCATATTCACACTTTCCACTAAATAAGAACGACGAGAACTCCATGGCTAAGCCTGCAACAAGCAATGTTTATTGTATTAACCTCCTTCCTAATTCCACGTATGAACTTGTACTATCTGGATATACTCATGGCTCACTAGCACGCTTTGACACGCAGTTGGAAATACTGTGCCTCATCTATTGCGAGAAGTGATCATGATAACATCTATCTGTCATTCTTGCTGGAATCGACGAATACGTCTGAAAAATATATAATTTTGTCCCAAATAACTTCTGTCGTGTTTTGGAGGAGACAATATGAAGTCCAAATGTGTGCAAACGCACTCCACACTTTTACATTATTCGATCTAACAATCCTCGAGATATTGCATACAACACCTGAGTGTATGCATACCCTCTCAAATCTCTGACACCATACACTTGAACCTGCGCCGGATCCCAAATCCCCCTCACAGCTCAGCTACTCGTATCCAGTCTCCTCTGCAATATAGCTCCCATAGCCAAAGCCCCCGACCCAGCAACGACATTGCCTCCTAACCGCCATCCGTAACCCATGGAATCGCCATTCCAGGCTCTTCCGCCACCTTCACCCTAGCCTGCATCATCTCCCTCAGCCCATCAGCCCTAAAATACGTCTCCATCATACGCTGCCACATCGTCACTTGCTCAACGTCATACACAGGCACACAATCCCCAAACTCCTTCAGCCTACCATCCTTGCCTTGATATCCCATCACCGCTGGATCCGGCTCCTCCGGCCTCGCCTGGAACAGCGTAGTCCCGTCTATGGCGAATATCGACGAGGGAGCCGGAAGTGCACGACCGCGGTCAAGATAACATGGTCCGAAGTAGACTTGGTCTTCCTTCTGGCGCTCTGATTTTTGGACCTGGAGGCGCGCGACGCGCTGCGAGTGAGCGTACCAACGGCGCTGGGATTCTAACGCTAGGACGTCTTGCACAGCTTGCGGCACCTCCTCGGATTGGATGGTCGTGTCATTGATGGCATCCAGACGGTGATACTCAGCTGCTTGCTCCTGCAGCTCTGTTTCCCGCGCAATGAACGGATTCTTTATCATCTCGTCGAGATAAATCTGCGCGTCAGGATGCCCGAAAACGGTCACGTGTTTCAGGCCCCGAAATTTCACTAGATCTTTAAACCCTGGAATCGCACGGACGTCGTTTTGTGCCTTTGCAGTTAGGCTGGAGATATCGATCCGGAGGGTTAGATGTTGGAGACAATAGCTCTCTCCTAGCAGCTTGATGGCAGATTCGATGTGTTTCGCGAACTGTGCTGGACGCGCGATACGCACGTCGAAATCTACGGCCCGGATGAATTGGCGGGCGGTAGGTCCGATGCGGGAGAGGAACCGCGTGAGGCTGATAATGGGATGGGGCGGGTGTCCTGTTCGAACGGTGAAGGTGTTGCTGGTGTAGAATATGTATTCACCTAGGGTTCTAAGCATTCGGGATACTTGAGTAACTTGAAGAAGCTGTTCTGGGGGTGGGAGGTTTAGCGTGCAAGTTGTGGTTGTCATGGAGGGAGGAATGAGGAGTGAGAGGATTGGTCGGTCGCAGTTGTGTTCTGTGTCCCATGTTGCAATCAAGGGATGCGGAAACGTCAGGACTTCGCTCAAAATCTTAAACAGCACGTTTACCGGGAGATCCTCAAACTGCTTCCCCGTGCGGATGCAGACAGCATTTCCATCTGGTAATGGATGAGGAAGCCCGAATCCCCAGTGCTTATCCCACAACGAGAACAGTGGCTTGAAGACTTCATCTTCTTTCCCGCGTGGGAGAAAGTAGGTCAACTCAGCGCCTTTAGGCCATTTGATAGCATCCTGATCTCCGTCTGTGGAATCTGGTCCTAGCGGCCGCAGATCTCGCTCATAGTACTGCTCCACGTGTTGGCAGTAGCTGTAAACGCATTGCCAGACCTGATGTACCGTATTTCCCAAGCCCAGTACTCCGCCATTCAAGTTCCTCAGCAAAGGGAAATTCTGTATAACCCACGTTACCATGTTCTTCACGCTACCAGTCCGTGTAGGAGACGCCAGTAGCGCAAAGTAGATCAATTGCTGCCAGGTAAAGGGCTGACTTCGTGCATCATCCTGCTGAAAGGTGTCTGTGAAGGTGGCGTGGAGAAGGGACCCTGGTTCCACTAGTTCGAGCCCGAAGCGGTTGAATGGGAGGTTGACGGGTTGCTGGTATGAGAGACCAGGAAAGTGGACGAGGAGGGTGAGATCGGCGGATTTGGAGGGGAGGTGAAGCTGAGAGGTTATAGTCGAGATGGGGTTGGTGATGAAGTTGGAAGAGCTGGTGTCCAGTGCGAGCGTGTCGACTTGCTTTGGGGAGCTGCCGACTGATGTGCTTATGTTTGCGATAGCAGTGAGTTGCTCTTGCTCCAGAGATGCCGTTTCTCGTGGAGTTCTAGCCATGGCGCTGAGATGTTCTCGTGGGTGAGGGCTGTGAGAGTTTTGGGAATGAGGTCAGGGCCGTTATATCTGGATTGCATCTTGGATAGCCTCGAGTGAAAGTGTTGTCGTCGAGTGATTCCCCCTGTTCTAAAAATTGTGAAGTAGGTGAAGAAGAGTTTGGTAGTGACATAGACTCCATAAATGCTCTGTGGAGCAGGCAGTGACATGGTGATTTCGAACAATATAGGTGTTGATGGTGGTCACCGTGCTATGCTTGCAAAGCCCCAATCTAGTACTGAAGATAGAGCAGCTGTTCGCGATGGTACAGCATGTTACCACATAACATGGAACATGATCAAAGTAGCGTCAGTCTATCAGACCCTTTGCTAGAATTAGAGAGAGCGTCAACAGGATGCACCACTCTAAGCTAATGGGATCCACGCCATGCTCCAGAGTAGGTAGGAAGACGCAGCACTTTGGGCGGTGGAAATACGATGAAAAAGCAATACAAGAGGCGCAGGACTTGGGAAGGCTTTTCAAAATCCATCTCTACGGTCCCAATTTCGGCCCATAGATGGATTGACCGAGATAACAGAAACCAAGACCACAGCCTCAGTCCCAGGAACAAACAACATGTGGAAAAGGTGAGGGCGTGCAATACGGTGGTTGAAACGCAGAATATAATAAGCTTGTATCTTTCTGTTCTGTGCCAGAAATTAGCATCTCTTAAGCTTCGTGGCCAATGCTAGCGAGGAGGTTGGCCAGCGAGCCCTACTCTGATAATGCTCCTTGATGTGCGGCAGCACGCTGTACCCCAGATGCCTCCCTACGATGTCAGCCTTAGGGAATTCATAGCACATGTTTTGACCCACTAGAGCCACATTTTCTCTGGAAGCCCATCTGATGCGGAGGGTAATCGCATAAAATTTTTGGATGCGCCGAACCCAAGAACAATCATACCTAGCTATGCTAGCGCCAAAGCACTCAATCCAAGCCCGAGAAGCCTAAAATGCCGTTTCCCTGTAATGTCTTTCCCTTGTTCTTCTTGCGCCTCTTTCGCTTCTTGCTAGACTTCTCCTCTTCGCTGCTGTCTTCTTGTTCCCCCTCGTTACTATTATCGTCCGAGTCGCTTTCATGGGCGCGTTTCGGTCCATTTGTCTCCTCCTCGTCGTCGTCTATGTCGACCCAGACCTTTTCATGCCACACTTTTACCATTTTGCCACCTCCGCTGATCATTCGGCCAGTGACATCAAACCCCAGCCCAACAACAGCTTCGGCCTGGAACTCATCGTGCTTCAGTTCTGCGACAACCTTGTTCGGGCCAATCTTTATGAATCGTAACCCTCCATTGCCTAGGCCGACAGCAACCAATCTGCCTGAAGGTCCAACACCATCTGGGACCAAAGCGATGCTGTCCAAGCTCTCTCCACCTCCTTGAGATCGATCTACCACAATGCGCGCATCTTGGTCATCCCATACCCCACGCTCCCATAGAGTGAGAACACCCGTGCCGCCTCCGACGAGGACTTTCTCGCCAACGCTCGTTCCCCGCGAGGGTAAACCAGTCATAATGACCGAGCTCAGCAGCTCCTCCTCTTGATCCTCACTTCTCACCATAACGCCTCGTCGAAGATCTGTGACTGCCAGCGTGCTGCCTCCGGTGCTGACCCATTGCTTGCTGAACCCGCTAGTGCTCGCCGCTGTCGGAGGAAGGGGCGTTAGGGAGGAAATATAGTCGTCGTGAGGATGAAAAGTCTGGTGAGGCTTTGGTGAAGCTTTTGGCCCAAGGTCGCGGATGTCGTATAGGTGTAGGGCGCCCGAATCAGTGGCGAGAAGTAGCGACTGTGGTGAGAGGGCATGGAGGAGCGAGGGGTGGTCAAGGGAACCCGAAGCGCTGGATATTGTCAGGAACCAGGGTCAATTCAGAAGCATATAAGGAAATAGCTGAGACACTGACGGATCGCGTGGGATGGCGATTTTCGCAGTAACGTTGCCGGTTCCGACGTCGGCAGCTTTCACGATACCATCTGTGCCCGCTGAGTACAATTGCGTGCCATCAACATCAAATCCAAGGGTTCTACAGCTCCCCTTGTGCCGCCTAGTCTTCCACGCCGTCTCTATGTGGCCGAATCCATTTTCTGAGGCGAGCGTCGCGTCGGGATCGCTGTTGTCGTCGCTCGCGCCTGCGGGCAGTCGGTACGTGTAGACGTGCCCTGAGGCAAGTCCAACAGAGACAATTGGCTCTGTAGGGTGAATTGCTTGGGCGAAAAGGTCGTGCGAGAGCGGGATGGTGCAGACGGTGTCGAACATTACGCCTGAAGGTTTTGCTGGTTGGTGGTTAAGGAAAATTAACGAAAACGTGAACCAAGGATGACGAGCAACCTTTACCGAGAGTCCGAGACTTAATCGATAACGCGTTCTCGCGCTGCGACATGGCACCTTGTTATCTTAACTCTCTTCCTAGGATTTAAAATGACATTGAAAGAATACACATTGGTATCGTAAATTATGCCTTTATCTATATTTCCCAGATTATTCATCACGAAGAGCTTAGATGTGAACTGCAAGACTGGTGGTGGGTGCAGTGGAAGATTGTTGTATTGTTGTGGAGCCTCTCGGGCTGCCATAATATATAGAGAGGTGCAGGCGCTAGTTGATCGTGGCTTGGCCTGGTTACATGAACCATTGCTAATCTAGTCATTTCGTGAAGATGGGGGAGGGCCACACTTTTGGGCGTCGCTCTGGCCTACCGTCCCAATAAGCTGGGCTTGGTCGTCGCAATATCTCGCCATGAATGTGTCCTTAGCAGAAAGGCCGCGGGGTTTGTGTGTCGTCCAGTACACGGTGAGAGATCCGAAATCCTGTCCCCATGTGAGCCATACTCGAAACACTGCTGGCCAAGGACAGCCTGACCGTAATCATTTTTGAATGGTGGTTTTTCGATTTGCTTCCCACTCCGATACACGTATGAAGATCCTAATAAGGGTTAGATTGGCGGTAACTGTGGGGTGCATCTCTTAATTACTAGGACTTTGGTGTATGTTTTGAAATAGTACGTCTTCCCAAGTTGTATTTGCTCTCCGTTTAACTCCCACCCATTTTCAAGCAACACTTCTAACTCGGCCTTTACCTTGCTTTCATCTTGACCTTCAGAAATCTTTGGCTGCATGATTGCGCTGCTTGACATCTGTTTGGTTGTGCTCAAGTTTGCCAAACGGTAATTTTTTCGAATGTGGACGAGCGGGGTGACGGACCTAACAACACGCGCTGCCATGATATCATCAATGGGATTACGAAGTACAGTGTGTACAAGCAGTTCGAGTATTTTAGGTCGTGTGGTGGAGCGCTGCTGGCAATGGATGGCTGACCCAGAGCAAGGGTTTTTATTCTTCAGCAGGTTCCAAAGAAATACCTTCGCGCTGTCCGTGCGCCTCCCAGAACGAGAGACAGAGAATCAGAAACTTCACGTGACTATCCTCGCGTACCAGAACTTGATACTTAACCTGAATACAAGACAGCACTTTTCTTAAGAAGGTGCTCACCTGCATTTATCGGGCCCTTTTTTAGCGTTTGATCCTCACAGCAACTTACAAAAGGCTCAACGGTTGTTGCCGCGTCTGGGAAATTAAAGAACGCGACACTGTATCTCTTAGGGATTATCTCCTGGTCGCTAATATCCTGCCTCGCCTTGTTGTTGTTTGAGCGAGGAGGTTCATGTACCCTGTGAACGGTGTTTTTCCACCGCCTATTAGTCCAGCGCATCAGTAGATACCCTACGTCGACTAGAATCGTTCCCTGTTTCGGTTCAACGTGTGTGAACTTTCCCCTTTTTTGACCGCAGTACTTGAAGCTTTGTCGGTCGAGCTGATGTATGCTATTTCTAGACCGCCAACATCTTACTAAAAGAGAAGTGTGAGGGTGTCAAAGTCAGAGTGCGCTGGAATTCCGACGACGTTACCAGATCGGACGAGCTGGGTAGGTACAGCAGGATAATGGATGAGACTGGACATAAATAAAGAGCCTGTGTGGTATTGGCTTAGGGATTCCTCCGTGCATAAGTCAAGTGCAATGGACAGGCACTCGAGGAGTTTTTCTAAAAGCTCGGCACAGTCCTAGTTCTTTGTTAGAAACTGAGAACCCTACACGGGACAGGGGATGTGCCCGATAAAACTCCGCAGCACACTCATGGAACCCTGGCAACTTCTGTTCGCTTGGCCAAAGGCCCAAGGAATTGTTCTTGGGATTACCAAAATCGAAACTTTCTTTTCACACATGTCTTGCCACATATCTTCTCCCTCCCTACCAAAGTATCCCCTGTTGAGTGAACCAGGCGTTGGACATCTCTTTCTCGTTCTCCGAGAGGTTGAAAAATTGCCTGCTCTTTAACGCTTGTGATTAATACCATCATTGTTCATGGAAGAAAGGCTCAGCTCACCCATTCGATAACTCGAAACATCTATCAATCTTGCCCTGCTGAATATGCTTGCAGTTACGGAGCTCTCAAAGCTCTAGTCACCTGACACTACCTTCACCTAGAACTATATACACCCGTAGTTATCCTCCTTTAGCAATCAATCCAGTTCCTCATGCCTCTGGTGCTCCCACAAGCTTCACGGAATGCCATGGCTGTTAAGACGGAAGAAGCCAACAGCCCTTGGCGCGTTATCAACTTCGGATACAGTATGTTAGTGATCCTCACTAGGTCCGTTGAGTAAACGGCTGAAATCAATGGTGGGAACATTTGAATCCATTCGTATTTCTCTGTAGGATCCCAAGGATAAGGAATAATGGAACACAAGGTTCGGTCGCGGTGGCTAGAGAAAACTTTGGGTTGTTAAGGGGAGTTGGAGGATCGCGGGATTTATTGCCGGCCTCATTAGACTTTCCTTAGCCCAGATCAATGGCGAGGACGGATCATTTCAATATATCCTATTAGTATTTTTTTAAGAACTCAGACCCATCCAATCATTAACTATGTCTTTAACAACACATAGTCAATCTAGGTCAGAAAACTTGGTATTCAGTCGTCACGTATTTTTGTGTGTAGTATTCCCTCTCCGCAGTCAAAGGCCAAAGGAATCTCTAGCTTTTCTATGCTCACCACTCTCGAAATATGCAAGCGACTTAAAAGATAAAGGATAGTGTAAGACAACCCCCCCTTGAAACTCATATTCTTTTCTACATGAACTAACATTAATGTAACCTCCTATTTCTCAATCACTCCAAGATATTAGGGGAAGAAGTACGCCTAACCGCTGATTGCTTATATCCAATCTTGGTAGTTCGCTGAGAATAATTTAAGATTTATTCATGATCGTGCTTGCGCCATCGTAGAGCAGTCGTTCGATGCTAGCGTTAATTGCAGACTCGAAAACCGCTGTACATATATGTTTTAGTAGCCTCATTTCCTTTCATTTCAATCTCTGGCCTTCTCAGTCTGTCAACCTTTTGTAGCGAGTCAATATCGTAATATACATCGTTAAGGTTGCACAAAACTTAAGATTCATATTTTTCTCACGCGTGATGCATCCTAAGGCACAGCTCGAGTCTTTGTGGGACACCCAGGAATATGCTCCGTGATCGAAAACCCCACACATCGTAACTATCCTATATAGAAAGATACGACTTTCACTTAATGAGGCTTCCAAAGCAACTATGTAATATCTGCTTCTTAATTCACATGTATTACAGTACAGCCATACGGAAATTATTACTCTTATATGTATTGAAGTTTCGTATTAAAAACTTGGAAAAATGTAAGCGTTTTATCTATGTAAACTTTATACAACCAGTTTTGTAAAAGTATCCTAATATTTAGCTATTGTTTTCTGCTATTATACTACAGAAATTAATTGAAATAAAAAGCTAGCCCGAATTAGTGCATTAAACTTCTTTGCATTTGTGTTGCACTCCTTAAGATTAGGGTGGTGAAGAACTACGGTGATCTGCATTCACGTTTTGCATTGATTGGCCCTCAGCGTCATCTGCAAGGGACCACCGGGATTACAATGCATCACCATTTCCACACGGAGACTTGATAAGTAAACCCGAGTTGTTGGATGTCGGGCCTCTTCTTTGCTAATTCTCTCCAGCTTTCTCCTTCACTTCATAGAATCACTAATGATAATATCTGCAAGATGCTTGTGTCGTATCTCGCATCTGGGCTCGCGATCATCGCATTTTCTTGCTTGGCTAGCGCTCACAGCGACCATGTGAACTACACGGTCGTGCCAGGAATCTTCCTTCAAGATGATCCAAGCACCAACGCTTCAACCTTCAACTTTACTGCTTCCAATTTTGGACTCATAGACAGGGATTATCCGACCGACTCTTCCTGTCCCGACCGCAAGCATTCAACCCAGTGGCAGCGTCTTTCCCATTACATCTCCGCATTGAACTCACATTCGCGTTCTAACGAACGGTACTCCCTCCTCTTTCTCGGTCGCCATGGTGAGGGATTCCACAATGCCGCCGAGTCGTTTTATGGAACGCCAGCATGGTTAGTCCTGACTTGGTGTTGTGATGGATTCTAAATCTGACACCCTTCTCACAGGAACTGTTATTGGTCTGAGCTTGACGGGAATGGAACCGCCACGTGGGCTGATGCTCACCTGACTGCTACCGGTATCAATCAAGCACTCACAGTGAACAAATTCTGGAAGCACTTGATGCAAGACGAGAAGATTACTCCTCCAGAAACGTATTACACCAGTCCACTGTATCGATGTCTGTCAACTGCGAATTTGACATTTTCCGGACTTGATCTTCCGAGAAGGAATCAGTTCGTCCCGACCATCAAAGAATATTTCCGCGAGGGCATTAGTGCCCACACCTGCGACCGGCGCAGCAACAAGACTTTCATCCACTCGAACTTTCCAAGCTACCGGTTTGAGAAGGGTTTCCCAGAATACGACCCATATTGGACCGCCCTACACGCTGAAACTAGCACAGGGTACTAGACTCTGGATAAAAGCTCTGAAAACTTCTGCTAACTGTTTGGCAGTACGCAATGTTTTCCCCTACCTTACCTAATGTAGACTTAGACTGAGATACCACCTACCTGGGTTCGATTCTGTATCTGAACAACCTGTTAATTGTGCCCGACATCTAGACCAGGATATTCGCTCCAAAAAGGTACTTGACGACGTCTTCTCCAACGATGATAGTACTTATATCTCTGTGACGGCACATTCTGGAGAAATCGCCAGCTTGCTTCGAGGTGAGCAATTATGGTTGGCAAAGCGGACTTTCCTAACTCATCTCAGTGCTTGGGCATCGAACCTTTAGTCTTAGTACTGGGGCAGTGCTACCAGTGTTCGTGAAGGTGACGACACTGCAGGGTAACAGCCCAACGACTACCACGCAGGCGTTCACATCTGTGAGTACGTGTGCGACAGCGCCAACAATTCGGGCTTCCACATGCAACGACTGCTCTTGCTGTAAATGAGGTCGTTTCCTATGAATGACAGTTGATCAATGGAATATTTAATTTTGAATTCACGCTATTCAAGCTTCGATATTTAAAAGATTTCTTTACGTTCCCTCCATCACTCTAAACCCCATTACGAATATCAAGCCTCATACAAACAACCTGCGAGCGTAACCAAGAACCGGCCTACAAGAATAGGAGACAGTCCGGGGTGCCCAACATCCTGTCCAAAGTTGCGGGGAAAGGGAAGCGGGACGTTATTAGCCTTGATATGTGATATTTCTGCCAATGGGACGAGGCACTAACGAAACCCCGTGGGGAAGCGCGATAACTTGCTAAAATACAACTAGATGTTCTTCGCACCCTTCAGCCATCTTAGACACGAACCATCAAGATCTGGTGTTGCCAAAGGGAGAAACCAGGTATGTCCATAGCTTGCGGTCATCTCGTCAGATAGCTTTGGCAACTAGTAGAACCCCGGGGATATGGAGTTACGTTTCAGCTCTCTCAAACTGTGGAGATGTTCTCCATCAAAATAGATCGAAGTTCGGTCGATCTTCCCGTCCACCGTCCCACTCTGCCACCATCTCCATTATTGCATGGGCATCCACCGTTCCTTCCAGCCGCGTCGAGCTAAGGGTGGTCTTGATAGGGGCGCTTCATGACCTTGTCAGGCACCCTGATCTTGATCACCGAGATCGACATTTAGCTTGAAATGTAAAACTTGCTTATCTTCACTTCCATTCCCTAGTGATTCCTAGCTCAACCCGAACAGCGCAGGGCATTAGAGCATTTTTCGCCATTCTGAGGGTCATCGTGAGGACGGAAGTGACCCATGTCGTGGGAAAGGAGGACCTGTGTATCTTACTTGCGTTAGTAGGTTGATCTGCAGAGATCACGGGTGATGAAGATCGCTAACTGAACCTCATCTCTACCGCTCTAGGTGGCAACGGTTGTATGCTGCGTGTTGGCGAACCTCTGTAAGACTTGTTCCAACGACGTACTGTGGGCGAAATAACACTCCAGCAGAGGTTTTGCGTAGCAGTGTCAGTCAACGCTTCTCCACCCTTACTAATGGCTAGATAATGGATTTCAAAAAGTTATTCTCCTCCTCCTCCCCTCCCTTTCGCCTACCCTGACGTGCTCCAGTTTACCTGCTCCTCAATCTTATCCTATAGGCTTACCTTCTACCCAACAAATACTCCAGCCTCTCCCTTTGCATTCGTGTAGTTAGCGTTGTCCATTGGCTCCGCGCGTGTTACGTCGTCCCAAGCTTCTTCACCACCTGTACGCTCCAGGTTATCGGCGTCAGCTACATGTCCTGCATCCCTATCTATCGGTATTGTGGTTCGCATATGCAAGTCTGAATATCTTCAAAGTTACCGTGCTATTGCCAATTCTAGGGATCGTTGTGTTGCAGCTGCCTCAGAAGCAGAAGATTGGGTCAGTTCGGTTTTTGCACTAGGGTTCTCTCTGAGCTTGTTTTTTTGCGGTTTTTTTTAGTTTATCTTGCGAGAGCCGGTGTTTATATCCTTGCATCTATCTCTTGTTATCCTCTCTACTCTTCTTCTCAAACTTACAACCACCACTACCTCCCCCCACCACCTCCCATTTCTCGCTCCCCAACGTCTTTCCTCTCAAACCTAATCATGCCGGAGCCTGCATAATCTCTGTAATCCGCCTCCAAGCCCTCTACGCCGCCAGCCACGCAAACTAAGACCCCACTTACGATAACCTCGGCATCACAATCTGGTCCGTCGTCGAGGTTAGCGGCCCCATCTTCCGTGACCTCACGCCCACGCTCAAGCACCTTACTTCGCTTGGCTGGCCAAGCCTTCTGTCTCCAAGTCACTCAAGAAGGCTAATGGGTTGATGGGGTTGGGGTTAGGGATGGAGAGGATGGAGTGGAAGGAGTGAGAGAGGGGAGGTGGAGGAAATATCGAGATTTTGAGAAAGAAGGATCCCAGGGGATGCTGATGTGGAGGGGGGGTTGAGATTGCGTTGAGTGAGATTGAGATTGGCATTGAGAGGGGTGGGGGTAGGGATAAGAAGAGAGTGGGTGGCGTGTAGACTATGATGAGGAGTATGGAGAATGATGGGAATACGGAGCGGAGATTGTGTCCAGATACGCAGAGTGGCGTCCATAATAGACTGTTTATGAGATTAAGACGGATGCGAAGGGAGATTGTTGATGGCGCAGGTTTATTCTTCGTGCAGGTGGGAGCAGGAAAGGCTCGGTAGCATGGGTACGGTTGCTAGAGGGAGGAGGATTTTTGGTCTTGGTTCTAGCAATCGAAGAGCAGATCGCGCCCATATGATACCTCGTTTTGCCTGTACTGTTGTTGACGGATCTCCCATCAGGTTTAGTGAAGCACTATCAAGCACGCAGTAACCCACTACTTTTACCCTCGATAAAAACTACACCTTATGTATCAGTCTGCCCATCATACAATCTCATCGTGATCGGCATGTTCGTCTGCTTCCCTTGAGACCTCAGCATGGCATTTCATTAAGCTACACGGTAGTCGTATTATAAGAATTCCCGAAGCTTCACACCCTACAGCCGCCGATTAATCGACTATGTATTCCCCTATGAAATGCGGATATGTTGAAAAATTATAATTATTTATAATTATTTATAGGCAACATGAGAATATAATTTCGTATATATATGATCAAAGGTCGTGCCGAATATTAAATTCTGTGGCTCGAACTATAACAGAATCAAGCTGGCTCTAGAATAGATTTGTATTATCCTTCTAGATCCTGTTGGTGCACCGCTTCCACCTGGTTATACTTTCCCTGCCTCTCCAACACCCCCCTAAGATTGCGAGCGCTGGTTAACATGTACGGGTGCTCCGGTCTAAGTACCTTCCTGTATCCTTCTAGCGCTTGCCGGTACATCGCTTCTGCCTCTTCGTACTTCCCCTGGCTCGCCAACACTATCCCAAGGTTGTTGGCGCTGGTGAGTGTGTCTGGGTGATCTGGCCCAAGTGCCTTCTCGGATCCTTCTAGATCCCGACGGTGCATTGCTTCCGCCTCTTTATACTTTCCCTGCCTTTCTAACACAATCCCAAGGTTGCTGGCGCTGGTGAGCGTGCTTGGGTGCTCTGGTCCAAGTGTCTTCTCTGATCCTTCTAGATCCCGACGGTGCATTTCTTCAGCCTCCTTATACTTTCCCTGCCTCTCTAACGCCATCCCAAGGTTGTTGGCGCTGGCGAGCGTGTCTGGGTGCTCTGGCCCAAATGCCTTCTCTCTTCCTTCTAGTGCTCGCCGATGCATCGCTTCCGCCTCTTCGTACTTTCCCTGACTCTCCAATACCAACCCAAGGTTGTCGGCGCTAGTGAGCGTGTCTGGGTGATCTGGCCCTAGAGCCTTCTCTTTTCCTTCTAGCGCTTGTCGGTGAAGCGCTTCTGCCTCTTCATACTTCCCCTGGCTCTCTAATACTAACCCAAGGTTGTTAGCGCTGGCGAGTGTGCTTGGGTGCTCTGCCCCAAGTGCCTTTTCTCTTCCTTCTAGTGCTCGTCGGTGCATTGCTTCCGCCTCTTCATATTTCCCCTGCTTCCCCAACACTACCCCAAGTCTGCTGACGCTGGAGAGCGTGGTTAGATGCTCTGATCCTAGAGCGACCTCCCTTGCCTCTAAAGCCCTTCGGCCCATCTCCTGCGCTACTTTATAGTTTCCCATATTATCTACATACCATGCAGCCTTAAAAAGAACCGACGCCCATGCCTCTAGTACGCTACCACTGGATGGCCGAGACGCTAATATTGCTTGAGCGTGTGGGAGCAGCGCTTGGCATGATTTCCAATTCTCATACACCCCCACCGGGTAACTATCATCCATAAGCCTAACATACTTTTCCCTCCAGCTTTCCAGCTCGCCCTGTAGCTCGAGCCATGTCCTTGTAGAGAATTGCACAAGTCGGTGCATTTCAAACTGGTGTCCGCCTACGTCTGTTACAACCAGAGAGAAGTTCGTCAACGTGTTCAAGTCGTCCTCAAAATTAGGGCTAGGGTCATTATCCTCTTGATAGCGACTACTAAGCAAAGACTCCGGAATCCCCTGTCGATCAAAAAAACTCATGAGCGACAGCAGCCGCGTTGCGGAAGGTCTCACTCTGAGGATATGCTCGAAAGAGATCTGCCAGGTAGCAATAATAGAGTTTGACGCCGTTCCGTCCCTGCGAGAGTCCTCAATGTCCATTTCTAGAAGATTAGCTCTATCTTGGTCGCCTTTGCGGAGGTCTTGTAAATATCTCGACACTGTAACACGCGGCGCTCTCTGGCAAATGTAAGCGGCGGCTTGGGTGATGGCAAGGGGCATGTAGTCAAGCGCCTCAACTAGCGCCTCAGCATCATCTTGTTTAAAGCTCCCTTCAAGCTTGTTTTGGAGCAACGCCAGAGCATATGTCCGGTCCATAGGTTGGACCTTAATAATGTCGGCGTAGCTTCCTGTCAGTCGAAAGGCGGCATCTCGGCTCCGGGAGGTAATTAGAATAGACCCGTTTGGAGATTGGGGCAGAAACTCCAGCAAAGAGGATACTGCATTGCCAGCAGCATCGTGTTTGCTGCCACTACGACTCTGCAATGGACGGGGGAAGACGCTTAGATCGTCTGCATTGTCGATAATCATCACCCAGCGGCCATTTGCCTCATCGCACAGCCAGTTGTAGACAAGCTGTAGAATGTCGACATCTTGTTGATCCCATCCAGGAAGCCTAGCTCGTTCAGCAATTTTCCTGTAGCCTTCCTCAAATCTAGCTCTGCTGCTTGCATGCACCCAGAAGACCCAGATATCTGGCGACTTTTCTCGTACTTGGTAGGAGTACTCGACAGCAAGCTGCGACTTTCTTTCATGTTGTCAGTTGCATGTCTTCATGGGAGCATAAGCTTGCTGCGTACCCTACGCCACCAAGGCCAACAAGTGCTACTCTGGACGCAGATTGCTGGCTCTTACTATGTATTTCAGAAAGGATGTTGCTGTCCACAAAGTGTGGATCACGCCGGAAAGGGACAGTGGAAGAAGGGGTGGTGGGTGGCAGGGTTCGGTCTATTAGGAACAGGTTGTTAGAATGAAGATATGCTGCGTAGGACATAGGAGGGTTATACCTGTTAAGGGCCTTGGTGATGCGGCGGCATGGTATGTTAAAGTCTGGATATACCCCCGGACGACTGAGGTTATCCTCTCCACCTTTGCGTCATACCGAAGGCTTCCAAGTGCTTTCCTGCCTCTTCTAGCCCAAGAATCACCTGATGTAGGTAACGCTTTTGCGATTACATCGTCCAGTGCCTTTATCTGTACCCTACACCCTTCAATAGCAGGAAGGAGCGCCTTTTGGGATTCAGCTTGCATATATCCAGTATCGATCGCCGCTTTGGTCTGCCGGAGGGCATCTAGCAGCACTGGCAGCTCGGATTTGATATGGCGGAACGCTTCTGGGATGTCTCCGAGCTCGGACTGATATTCTCCAAGACGTTTTAGAAGCCGGGAGCCGAAGTCAATGAGCTGAACTATGTTAGCGACAATGCCGACTACGGCGATGGCTTCCGCCATGCTATTGCATTGGCTTTTGAAGCACGAACTGAGATGCTTCTTATGAAGAAAAGAGCAGTTACACCCTCATTACACAGAAGTATTGAGAATGCGAACAGCAATTGACAAAGATTTTCGGGTGGCTTTTGCCGCGACGAGAGGCTGGACTTGGGGCTGTGTAAGGCTTCGTGGGGCTGTGCAAGGCTGAAGCTGGCGCCCCCATGCGCTTAGATTTGGAAGGGAGAGGTGGAGGAGTGGGTATGTGTGTGACGATGCTACCTCTATTGACTAGGTCGGGGAGCGGGTGTACGGTCCTCTCCTATTGAGCTAGAGAGATACTTGTCGACGAGGGGGGGGTAGGAAGGGGTGTAAGATAGATCAGTTGCTTCAGTTCCTCGCGTCTTGGGATGAGGTACTTGGGCGCTTCTGTTAAGAAGGATATTAGGTATATTAATTACCTAGGCGATGCCACAATAATAAGAATAACCACGACTCTCTACTAGAAGGCAGAGGGTCTTGACTATGTACCTCACAGCGATCGTCGTGATCGCAGTTTTCCGGCCATGATCACAGCGATCGTTCGCCAAGACCTGCGATCGTACTATACCTTTCCGGGGTTGTCACGTGATCTCACTGGTCCGGGCCCACGCCGGGGTCGGACCGTCCTTCTTCCGTGGGGTTGGAGGCACGGCATGCTCTGATCCTGCTGGTGGTCGTAACAGCATTGTACACCTAGAGAGGCACTATATTATTAATAGATATGGCAATTCCTAAATGCATAGTATTAAGAAACCCAAGGCAAACTGAGTCTCGCAACTGACGCAAAGGCGACACTTGCTGAAAGCTCCTAGAGCTATTAAAGAAGACGTGACGGAAAAGATAGGCTATATGTAGCGAGTAACTAGTCACCTGATAACCATACAGTTTACCATAGCAATCTTATATGATAAGAAACGGTGGGAGCTACTATATTCTTCCACTGACAGGGATCTAGACGAGTGCTGTGGCCGGGGCTGTTCTTAGAATAAAGAAAAAGGGCTTCTAAAAGCAGCGGGAGCAACTTGGAGATTCGGCAGTGAATTTACCATCAACCTGCGGTGAGACGTAAATGTTTGGGTGCTAGCGGGTGGCTTTGGCATGGGTAAAAGACTGGCAAACATCAATTTTCGACCATTATTAACCACTATACTCCACCCTCGTGACTCCAGAATCCGTTTTCATTCTCTCTTGGCCCCTTGTTGTGCTCCACAAATATCACATAACTTCCTTTCATCCTTGCGCTTCCTGGAGGCGAATACAAACAAAGAGACTGGGAGCCGCCGATCATCACATGTCTCTTCACGTGTCGCTCGGACTACCTTGTCGGCGCAAATTCCCCGTGTAAATAAAGAACAACTGAAGGAACCCTGCATGAAATGGTGTGGCTTGCAGATTGCGGGGTGTGCCGAGGCAGTGGACTAGTATAGTGAATGTTTCTAGACTTAGAAAATTCAGGTGAAACGTTAGAAATGGGTGAGAGTGTCTAAAGATGGGTTGGCAGTGTAGGAGGGTTGAACGGGAACTTGAATGGGATTAGTAGATTTGGAGGGCCGGATATTTGGGTGAGAAATCGGTGAAAAATCCACCTGGGAAAAGCAGAGAGCGAACTTCAAGGAGAGCGAACTGAATTTTGATTGGATTATGGTTATTTGTCTGGATATACTGGCCGTTTGTGATTCGCATACCGACACCAGAAATTAAAGAAATAGAGGACTTAAGATATATATCTCCTCAACACATGTTTCCATTCCTCCAAATGGTATTCTAGTCGCTCTGAACGTTAGCAAACCCCCCTCCCAAACGCACATGATCGTATTACTCTCTTTCATCCGCCATAAGAAAACTCTTCGTAACCCTAATCTCTTCGTGCGACTTGTCCTTCGGCGCCACCCTCGGTGACACCTTCGGTGACAACTCCTCCTCGCTCTCATTGTCCCTCCGACTCCGCATCTGCGACCCTGAACCCCGCTTTGGCCTGATGAAAGTGGCTTCGTACTTCTTCCGGGGGAAAGTGAACTCACCCCCTACTTCTTCGTGTTTGCCAACCTTACCGCCTTTCACTGTCACAGAGAGGCTAGACAGGGTATAGGCGTCCAGCGTACGTAAGCTTGCGTTTTGGTGGCTAAGTGGCTGGCTGTTGGGCTGTCCGTAGCCGTAGCCATAGCCCGAGGGACGCATTCGGGATGGACCGGTTGAGAGGCCTAGTCCGTGGGTTACGAGTTGCATGAGGGGACGGAGTGTGGCAAGTGAGCCAGCTGTGATAGCAAGTCCTTGTTCGACGGTAGACCAGATGGCGATATCGAGGGTTGCCCATAGGAAATCGGGATCACGGAAGTTTTTGAGGTAGGCGAGGCGGACGACTACGGCAGAACTCGCGCTGAGAAGGATATTAGTCATAGATTCTGATGGCTTGATCTGAAAGATATCAAGGCGGGGAAAGTGAATACGTGAAACTGGGTAGTTTAGGTGCTGTTTAAACATGTGAAAGAAGACTTACATGCAACCCATAGCAAGTAGGGGTATGAGCGCCAGCTTCGTCCGCCGCTTCAACTGAAGACCCCAAATGAGAAACCCAGGCAAAATGGCAAAGGTGAAATCGGAAACAATGCTAAATATGCTGTAAAGATAGGAGAGGCCAATAATGGCATTGATGTTTATGCATTTTCCCGGTTGATCTCGCTTCCAGAAGTGGGAAACTGGAGTGCATTGGAAAAGACAGACGAAGAAAAATACAACTCCAGCGAGAATTGAGATGGACATTGCGACATAAATGATCCAGGCGTGGATTTTCTTCACCGTGACTCGGAGGAGGAAGAATCCAATGGAGACTTTAGAGCTGATCATGGTTATGCAATAAAAAAGGAAACAGAACCACCAGCACTAGGATGTAGTTAGAAGTGAGAATTTATAGGTTTGGAGCTTAAATACCTTGGTGGCGATCTCATCACTCTTAGCCAGCAGATCCGCACGATGATGGCCGGTTCCATAGTGAACGCCTGCTATTGAGAATGAACAGTACGAGATGAAGGACAGCTACCGCCCGTTAGACTCGATAACCCAAGAATTTCGTTCTGCAAACACTCACCATCGCAAAAACCATGAGCCAGTCGTCAAGCCCAAAAGCCTTGACCATGTCGACACGCACATAACATCTTAATGAAGTTGCTATTATTGCCGTTGACATAAAGAAAACATCGACTGCGAGGAGCTCAGGACCCCGATTAGAGACTGGGAGAGTCATTGTGCTATGTATTGTTGGAGATATCACATCACCGGGAGAGGTTGAGTAGATATGCGGCTGGGAGGTGGACAACGGGGCCGCATTATGTGCAGCGGTACCGCGGCTTACAACCACGCGCTCGCAGGAGCTCTTGGGGACTAATGTGCCGCTTCTAATGCGGGCCTGTTGTAGATCACTCTGCCAAAGAGCTTCCCTATTGGCATTTTGTTGAAGCGAGTGTGAAAGTGTCGTGCGAGCGGCACGAATTTGTGGGCTGGTCGTGTGAAGTGCGTCTTGAACTCATCTCAAAGAGGGCCTGAAAAGAGACGGGTATTTCCATCCCTTGTTGGTTCTGCACCTGAGAGCACGCATTGGTATGCCCTGCACTGTTTCTGGCCTAGAGTGTGACCATTCCTTCGTGGCACTGCATACTGCTGTGGGTGAGAACAGATCGTTGGAATTTGCTCCGCCATACCTGGGAGGCTAATTGTTGCGAGGCGAGGATGAAGTTTATACCGACACCATGTTGATGATAACACTAGCGGATGACTAAATAGCTTGGCAGGGGAGTTATTTTGTCATCTTTTCACACCTCGCTCCCCTCTTGCATGTTTTAACCATCTCCAGTCTCCGACCAACGCATCAACGACACAGTACATTTCGCGCCAGGTCTACGCAACGGACGTTAGCAGCCTCGAAATCCGTGGAAGTCTCTCCCTATGTTCGATGGCCCCTGCCCTCCAAGGCTCCGGCCGGCCGTTTCACCCAAGCACCGAGGTGTTTGCATAACTTAAATATATTGACGATCAATTGCAGCATGCAGGTTCTGTGACATGCACATCTCCTGCATCCGCGGCGGTTCTTCGGCACGGCAGTTGTTGGAATCTGAGCGACTGGGCAAACAAGTCGTTTTCAATGCATCTCTGAACTCATGCTTTACTACCCATCCAGAAGTGGGGACCTTGCCGCAGCTAGTCTCCATCAATAGCATGTCCACGTCTATCAAAATTAGGAAGTTCCATCATGCTGCAACCTTACTGATATTGTTTTCCTTCTTTTCAACACCAAATTTTCCCTTGGAACCCGTTAGATCGTCCACGGTTGGTGGGACCATCAAGTGGTACACGTTTCGTCACACGGGCTAGAGCCGTGACTGGACCTCGTGGCCGTCCATGTATTCGGAGGCCTTCCTAGTAGATTGAGATGCAAAATAAGCGAAATGTAAGGGAACAGAAACAATTAAAAAGGGGGGTGAGTAAGTGAACAGCTCTGATAAAAGGCATTAACCACTTACATTAGGAGAGGGGACCCTCAACCTAGTCCAGCATCACTCAGAAGTTTTCGACTTCTCAAGATTCGACGGAGGTAAGGCTCTCCCTCTCCAATTTCTATGTATTGGTACACATCACCGAACGCGGTAAGGTGTTACACAGGAAAGAACGCTACATCTTCTTCCATATCCTAGCAACAGACTCAGCAGATCCAATCCAACCTGTTAATTCCCCGTGGTATCCATGTGCCAATATGCTGTGTATTCACCACTAAGATCTTGGTATTGCAGGCTCGTTTCAAAGATGCATCTTCATCGCCTCTTCGGTTGCATCATCGAGGTTACTGCCCTTGCCAAGGGTGCCAACCTCACGGGTTACGAGTATGTCATCGTGGGATCTGGGGCCGAAGGAGGCCCTCTAGTCGCTCGTCTTGCACTTGCTGGTCACAGGACGTTACTCATCGAGGCTGGTGACGACTAAGGCAGAAAATACAACTGCACCATTCCTTCTTATTCGGCTCGGGCATCAGAAGATGAGACTATGGCATGGAACTTCTTTGCACGTCACTGCGCCAACGAATCGAGGCAGGCTCGGGACTTTGAAACCACATACGAGACTCTAGATGGCGGATAATACACAGGTCTCAATCCTCCTGCAGGCTCAACCATGAAGTGCACACTCTATCTAAGGACAGGCACCCTCGGAGGATGCACTGCACACAATGCTCTCATTGCCATCTATCCCCATCAATCGGACTTCGAATACATTGCCACCCTGACCGGTGATGCCTCCTGGTCACCACAGAATATGCGTAAGTATTTGGTCAAGATGGAGAAGAACCAATACATTTCCCCTGCAGCTGGTCATGGCTACGATGGCTGGCTCTCGACAGAGACAGCACCACTGAACATCGTCATTGAGGACCCTCAGCTCCTGAGCATGCTCACCGGCGGTGCCTTCGCACTAGGCAATGAGACAAATTCGGTCATCGATTTGCGAACTCTGATCGCTGGTGACGCCAACGCTGATACCTCAACCCGGGATTCTCAACCTGCGTACTACCAAATACCGCTTTCAGCAAATGGTGCCCACCGCAATGGCGCCCGCGAATTCGTCCTAGCTGTGCGCGACGCGGTGAATGATGATGGAAGCGAAAAGTATCCTCTCGATGTCCGGTTGAACTACCATGCCACTAAAGTCACTTTCGACGAATCCGCAACCCCTCCTCGCGCTATTGGTATAGAGTTCCTTGATGAACAGTACCTGTACAAGGCAAGCCCAAAGTTCTCTTCAGTTAATTATGGCACTCCTGGGTCAACCACTGCATCCTGAAAGGTCATCGTCGCTGGCGGCGTATACATCTCTCCCCAGCTCCTCAAGATAAGCGGTGTTGGTCCAGCAGACGAGCTCAAGAAATTTGGCATTCCCATTATTTCAGACCTTCCTTGCTTCGGAACCAACCTGCAAGATCACCATGAGATCTCTGTCCAGGGTTAGATCCCTGGTAATTTCACCGCACTAAACGGCAGCACGTTCGACGGCAGCACTAATGACGAATGCTTGAAGCACCGGGAAACATCGATTCTTGGGGACCGTGGAATATACTCGTCTTCTGGCCTTACAGCCACTATGTTCTACAAGAGCACGGCGACTTCTAACGACCAGTATGACCTCTTCGTACTTAGTGGTCCCGTCAATTTCCGAGGATATTTTCCCAACTACAACATCAGCGCAACAGCTCGACATGATTGGTTCACTTGGGCAATCTTCAAGGCACACCCTCGTAATACTACAGGCGCCGTGACCTTGCGCTCCGCAGACCCGCTCGACGTCCCAGACATCGTCTACAATTACTTTGACAATGGGGTTAGCAATTATAACGCTGATCTCCAGGCCCTCTCCGAAGGCGTGACCCTGGCGCGCGATGCATTCAAACGTTAGTTAGTTCCCGTTATTGAAATTCTCCCCGGTGGGAACGTTACCGGGGAAGCCGTTAAGGCAAATACCAAAGACTCCACCTGGGGTCATCACGCCTCTTGCACGTGCCCGATTAGCTCTGATAGAGACCCTATGGCAGTCCTCGACTCCGAATTCCGTGTTCGTGAGGTTTCGAGTCTGCGTGTTGTTGGTGCCTCTGTTTATCCACGGATTCCAAGTACATTTACTGCCGTTTCTACGTATATGATTTCTGAGAAAGCGGCGGATACTATGTTGAGCCAGCTCAACTCAACCACGGCATCAAATTCTACGATACTCAGCTGAGAAATGCTGTCCCTATAAGCTTTAAATTTTCGTACTGTATATATTTTTGACGTACATATTTGCATAACCATGACTTTAATCAATTTTCTTTCTTCTATAAGGAATCAAGCGCTTGCATTATGTAGTTTCTTTCAGCGCCTACTAGCAAACTACCTCAGTTTGGATACCGAGTTGAATAAACGCGCCTACTAGTTCCGGAGGCAACATATTGGAAGCAACCGCAGAGAGGCGACGTCATTGATGGAGATGTTATGGTAAGGAAGGGTTGGTCTCAATGCTCTGAAGAACAGGGCTTCCAACGAGGCGTAGTACTGTACGATTGGGCGATTTTGAGGCCTGTACGGGTGAGATTTTGTGTACGTTCGTACGACAGGGAGGAGGAGAGGTAGGTGTACGTATTGTAACTGTTACAACTCACATGATCTGTACAAGTAGTACAATTTAATTAAAGTACGCTGTACTTTAGTTAAAACAGCTAAGACTATAGGTCTCTAGAGACGCAAGATTAAGGTTAAATTAACTAGTTCTCCCTAGTAACAAGAGCAGATAGGACTAGATAAGGCCTGTAAGGCTGCAAGAGGCGTGGATAGATAACTCTGCAATAGAAAATAGTCTGTAATAGGCATTTTTAAGACAACAGACAGATGGATAGATTAAAACCCTTAGAAAGAGATTTAAGCGTCTGTAGGCCTCCTACTCGCCAGAGCCCTTATACCCCTCCAGAACCCCTATACAAACTTCCTAAAAGGGTAATACAATCTGTACTACGTACTGTACCTAGGGCATTATTTAACGTACGGTACGGCTCACGAACTCGGTACGTTTGTACTGAACACGTGACCGTTACGGTTCACTTTGTACGGACCGTAGTACGGCCTGTTGGAAGCCCTGCTGAAGAAGTTCACAAGCTACCAATGCATGTTAGCTAATATTGTTCAGCGTAGTTTCCTAGATGGTATCAGAGCTAGGCCAAAAAGGGAGAGCATACCGCCTTAGTCGCAGAATAAACTGGCATGACTTGTTCGGGCGAGGGTGCCGTCAAACTGCCCGTAATCACAATGATCCCACCACTCTACTGGCCGTTCATCACCCTCTTTGCTAGCATAACGGAATTAATGGTGCCTATGAGATTCACTTTGACGATCGGATGGACCAACAGGTTGGTTTCTTTCAATGCAGACCACTCCGCGGCACCGTAGGCGCATGAGAACGACTCTGGATGAGGTATGACGCATCCTCTACCAATTCGCGTCAGCAATGGCGATGTTGATTGCACACTTGTGCATCATGACAATGGTTGTAAAGGCATTGATTAGGGAAGCCCAGGCCGATATGTCTGTTTTGATTTACGTGACGTCTGAGACACCGGCTGGAGGCGGTACGATATCGATGATGAAAACACGAGCGTGGTATTCAAGGAGAACTTATACAGCTCTGAGACCGATTTCCCTGGGGCTACTCGTAACGGTAAGGCTTTTACCCGTACAGTCATGAATTGAGGAGTCGGTGATGGCGAGGCTTGTCGATGTAGCTGTCGTCGCTATGGATAATCGGTGAAGATGACGATTGGGGTTCGGAAACGCAGTGTTTAATAGAACGTAACTGTAACTGTCAGTAGTGTTTTTGGTGCGTTACTAATGGCAATAGAGTTTCGTTCTTTCACATAGAGCGAATTTAAACAGCCTTGCGAGCAGTAACAGTAACTGCTAGTTTAACTAAGGGTGGGGTTACTGTTTGGCATGGTTACTGCAGTAACTAGTGTGTCTAAAGGCTCTAGAGAGCTTAATTTTAACACAACCTTGCTAATATAGTTGCTAATATTAGTTTTACTCTAAGCAAACTAGTCTACAGAGCCCTAATTATAGAGGGTACTAACGTCCCTCCATGCGTAGCGAAAAACCACCTGCACCGAAAAAAATTAGGGGTACTTTGACTTCACACGATTATAAATTTTCGCACATATCGAGCTTCATTAGAATTCTATATAAATAATATACAATAGCTACCTTTTATCCTTAGGAAGCCTTCTAATTTAAAAATTACGTGCACGTTGTCACCTTCTCGCCTGATTCGCTTAGAGCCTTCTTTTGTGGCGAAACAGTATCCCTTCACTACAACGCTACTAAGAAGCTCTAACTTCTCTCTAATACGTATAGAAGGTGTTATCTAAGCCGAAGAGCCTCAAAAAAATGCTCAGAAGTTATTATTGGCTGTGTGTCTAATATCGCGCGCAAACTGAGGCAACGTCGCCACCCTGTCAGTACTGCCGACTGAGGCAGTTTCCGATCCCGGCTAGCGTGAAACAGCCTCGAAAGTACACATAATCATAATAGTGTAATTTATTTGAGGAGTCCTGTCAGCCAAGCTTGTGGCTGTTGGGGCTGGGGCTGTGCAGCCACTTCCTCAAATCAGCAAATGACGTAATTACAGCTCTTACTTAAAGTGACGTTAATATCTATTGTATTACCAACTGTCTCCTATACAGTCAACTCTCGATGGCGCGATACAAACAGGGAGCTAGGATTATATTGTTATATTAAAATATTGTTATAGCAAAATAGTTACGTAAGCTAACTATCTAGGGTGCCCTAGACAGCCTGCTTAGATTTCTAAGCCTTTACTTTAGTATACAGCTACTGTAGAGTCTTTATCTGCTAATGTGAGAGGTATCGAGCAGGAAACACAGGTCACAGAGAGGGAATGCAGGATAGGGGGGTAACGAGAGTAAACCTTAGGGTCGGAGGCAGAGGT